GTTACCGAGGTTTTCCCCCTAAGGAGCCCCGGAGTGAGTTGAAACCTTCACAGGTGGCTCGAGAATCCGAGGTTTGCGGGGAGGGGGAGGTTAAGTGCTCCCTTTTCCAGAGACAAGTGCGGAGCCAAGGAGGCAGGCCAAGCCCCGGAAAGCAACGGAAAATGAACTGTTTCTAAAGCTTTTTGATGCTAGCAGTACACGGAAGAGTCAGAGGGGGAGGCCTAGGGAAGGAGGCCGCTGGCAGCAGCCCGTGCTGCCCTCAAGCTCAGGCCGCGTGGCAGGGCCTAGGTGCGGGCGGCAGCTGCAGCCTTCGCCCGCTCCGCACGCCGCTTGGGCAGCACCCGGGGGCGGTCGCCTCCAGCCCTCGCCGGGCCGCGCTTCCCGGCCTTGGGGCATGAGAGCGTCTCGATGTCCTTCGCCTAGTGAGGAAGACCTGGCTTGTCTTCTCGTCTGAGAGCAGTATCTGCCTGCGATGTGTAAGTATCAGTGCGCCATCATGGAGCGTGAGGCAAGGGAGGAACTCCTGCCCTGAGGGCCGGCAGGCCAGGCTGCCCAGCCTGCTCCTAAGGCCCCTCTTCCAAACCTGGGTCATCCAGTGGCACAAACCTGATGGTCATTTTCAAGGACTGAGGCACTACAAGTTAATGAGTTAATAGCAAATGACAAAAACCTCTGTCATGGTAGTTAAGGCAAAGGCATGCTACTTTGCAGCTGGGACAGGAGAATTGCATTGTGCAGTATCATTATTCAGCTGACACAGAGTACTTCCCCTGACTGCCGATAATGCTTTTGGTCAGGTACCCGTGTGCTGACAGCCTCATATGTATTTGTGTAACTAAAGCTAATTGTTAGCATTTGTAACAGCGTCTTCCCACTGTAGTCCTTTGGCAGGTTTTTTTAAGCAAAAAAAAAAAAGCAAACCCCACTGTTGGACAGTGGCTGTAATCACTGGAGACTGCACCAGGTGGCAGTGCAGCCACACAAATACAGTAAAGCACCCTAACTCCTTTGGGTAACATTTTTATGCACTGTTTGAGGCACTGACCTATATGGCTCACTCACTCCCCACTACTAGTGTGCCTGTCTGTCTAGAAAAAGGAACATGAACTTTTTTCTGCCCTGCTGCTCCATCACTTTGCATATTCCTCTCAGAAATTACACCTACTGAATTATCTCCTCCTGTTAGAGATAAATACTCATGCTTCCTCAGGCAGCAATTTTCTTGGGACTATTTCTGAGAGTACTGAAAAACACTGTAATCATACTCTCTTGGGAAGGGAAACTTCGGTGACATGCTTACTTCTAAACCAGGAAGCAGGTGATGGTCATAGGTGACTGAATGGAGGGATGTGCCAGGTCTCAAGAAACTAGCTTAAGTCATTTTTTTTTAATTAAAAAATAAGATATTAATCTAGCAGTAGTAGTGTAAAAATAGTTATTAGGTTTCTTCCTGTTACAGTCTCTTGAGTATTCGGCACCAAACATTTCATTCTTTGCGATCCATGAGAACTTGGAAATAATTGGTCTAATAGTCATCCTATCCCAACCGTCTGTATTACATGAAGGATACATTTTGTCCTAGATATAAAAAGCAGCATTGCAGTATCTGAATGTAAAGAAGGTATAGTGCACTGTAGATAAGAAAAAAAAAGAGCATCTGAGTAGTAGGCATGTGTATGTATATGTATATATTATGCACTAACTAGAAACACTACCTTTCACGTAAAAATATTAATGCCGCGAAGAAAGAGGCAAGACTTTGTTTGACCGAGCAACATGGAGAGTAACAAATTCCCTTGAAGCTCTACCCTAGTGCATGAATAATAGAAGTCCTATGGCTTATAATATTTTCAGTGAAATTTCAATTTCTTTGAAAAAAATGAGAAATCTCACACTTTCTTCTTTCAAACTTAAGAATCAACAGAGACTCCAACAGTTATGCTACTTTTCACAATTCTTCCACAGTACTTTTAACTGCCTCCTACTTTTCAGAATATTTTCATTGGAAAAAAGAAGTCACAAGTTTTGATAATTTGGCCACTCATGTTATTTACTGAGTTATTTCAAAGCATGTCGAAATTCAGCCATGTTTTCCAATTGAAAATTGTGGCAAATGGAAGATACATTCCCTTTGAAAGGGTCAGAGATGTCCTTTGCCATTTTCTCCAGCTTCTGTGTGTGTATGTGTAAAATTACTACCCATTTTATTGCACTGCAGAAAAAGAATGGGTCTGTTTGTTAGTTATTACAGGGATGTTCATTCAAACAGGGTAGTAAATAGTCCGTTCTGCTTAAAAACTTCTGTCACTTGCTTTGAGTGTTGTTTTTTTAGCAGAAAGTGCTTCAAAGATATCATTCTGATCCATTGCTGTACCAATCCTCTAAATTAATTCTTCTGATCATTCTAAGCCTCTCAGACTAAGATTAATTCCACAGCCTGCCAGAAAGTGCATAAATTAAAACAAGAAGACATTTAGAAATGGTTGTTGTTTTCACAATAACAAATGTTAATTAGAATCTTAATCTCATTTTCTGTTAGCTGTACTTTAAACCATCAAGATCACACGTATTTGGCTGGTTTCTCCATTAGAAACATAGATGTAAATTTGGTCATATAATTCCACTGGCAAGCCTGAGGCAGCCAAAATCTTAACATTTCCTCAAGTGTCAGTCACAGACTTATATACTTTGTTGAGTCATGGCCATTGCTTGTCAAAGATTTGGGTACTGATTTATTTGTCAAAGAATTTGATACTGAGAGTTATCTGGACAAGAGAGAAAGAATCATGATATATTGTAAAAGTATCCAGATGCACAGCAAAATGTTGACTCACCCTTTGATAGAGCATGTGTCTGTTTGTCAGAAATCACGGTTTAGGAGTATGACAAAATTCTGAACAATTATCAGGTCATAATTTTTCCGCAGCTGTCAGAACATGTTTATATAGGCTACAGCTGTTTCTTTTCAGGGGAAAATCCTGCATCCATGGTTCATGCCCGTCGTACCTCAGCATTAGATAAAGCAGTGAACTCTGCTTGAGGCTATGGTTTTAATCCACTAGAACATGATAAATGAATATTTGAGCTACTGCCTACTGTGAATGTACCAGATCCTTCAACTGAACAAATGTTTATTTTTGTGGTGTCAATAAACACAGATCTCCATTGAAATGTCCAGTAGATCACTTTCATACAAGTTATGAGAGTGGTTTAAACTTCTGAAATCCCTAAGTTTTTAACCAAAATTATTTTTAGAAATTTCAAGAATTTTATCTACTTACACATAATAATTCCATTTTCAACAACATTTCAAAGTTAAATACAATTTAAATAGATAATGCTTTTGAGGATCTTCCAATTTCCTCTAAAAGCAATCTAAAGGACATTTTGTATATGGAATTTAACTGTGAAACCTCCATGAAAACTGAAGAGTTGGAATCACAGTCATAAGGTAAATCTAAAATAGTGATTCCTATTTATTTTTGTGATTCTATGATTGTATTTCCAGAGAAAGCTGTATTTCCAGAGAAAACGGTATACTACTGAGATGAAAGAAATTGTGGAAAACAAGTCTGTCTTGACATGCTTGTGACATCAGTAACCTGAGATAGGCCGTATTTGAATATTGTAAAGTCTACATTTTATTAGTGTAATAGTTTAATATCTATTTGTTCTCAAATGTGCACAATGTGGAAATGAAAGTGCAGGATCATATTAGATGTCCTTACATGCAAACTGTGACATGTGACCAATGGAAGTACTAGTTTAGTTCAAAATGGCAAGAAAATTAATGGTAGGAAGTAGTATCTAATTGTTTTTGGATAGACATCGAAAAGGACATGACTTTGTCTTCTTTTCACTCATATTTCAGTAAGAACTTTCTGTTGCTCTCCAACTTCTTTACGCTGCAGCAGACATCCACTGCAGAAAACTAGAAGTCAAATAATCCAAAGGATGAGGCAGTGTTCAGCTATACTTTCAGCCTGTGTATTGTTATTTCCAAGAGCTTTAGGCTGTTTTGCCTCATATACTAGTAATTCTTCATGGTATTTGTTTATTTTAAACTTAAGTTAAAGTATATTTGGCCTTGAGTGCCCCAACGCACTGACAGTAATACATTTCCTTTCTTTTTGTTTTGCATGACCAAAAGGTTTCTTTATTTTCCAAATCGTAATATGTATCAGCGTGCATAAACCCTGTGAGACAAATTCCAGTCTTACCAGTATCAAGATACATACAGCATTCGGGCAACAATTTCTCCCACAGTGACAAAAACATTGTCCCCCTCAATGAAGGCTGCTGTGATCTTAGAGAGTCTCCTGCTACACAGGATGTGATGCAGTCAGTTCATTCACCCTGGCTTCTATATCCGTCCTGTAGGCATTGAAAGGTTGATGCAATATATTCTTCACAATCTGGTTAAAAAAACAAACAAACAATAGGCAAGCCTTTCTACCTACAAAACCATACTTGGACATACAGACATAGGCCTATTGAGTAATTATTCATCTGCAAAGATGGAAAGTTGGAAACTGAAAAGCTAGAGAAAAAAAAGAAGTAGAAGTTCGGTGTCTAAATGCCTTTAAATGTTTCACTATAGTTGCTTTATACAGACAAGAAAGGGAGAGGTAAATAAAATTAATTAGTGAAAAAATAGATTAGTGGTAAAGTTCTTACACCTCAGTGCAACAACCACTTTTATTCTTTCATAGTTTTACAGACATTTTCTCTCCTTGAGTTCATTGAGACCATTCACACATTGAAAGTGAAACGTGGAAATATTTGCAGCATCAGACCTCGGGGTGGGTAGGAGAACGTCTGGTTCATTTTCCTTGTCAGTCCAGCTCCTGAGGCTACAGTGAGGATGCTAGACTCTGCATGTGCAACCTTATTGACAATGGGAGAAGGCCAATTATTTTGACCACAGATGTGAAGAAGATTAAGTTTTCATTGTGAGATATTTAAAAGCATGTAAATGATTTGTGTGTAATTACTCAGGAGAAATCAAAAAGATTGAACAAAACTAAAAGAAGGTAGAACCGTCATGACTGTTTCTATTTTAATCACTAGAAACCTTTCTTAATCAAATGAGCTATCACTCCTGATTAATCTCATCTTTAATGAGCTTCCTTATATCCATAACAGTGGATGCAGTCCGTGGACAGCAGGTACAGTCCAAAGCAGAGATGTTTGTTGTTTAGATTAAACTCTATTGTTTTTCTTTGAAAAAACTCTTCTGCCCCAAAAATATTCTCTCCTAAAATTCATTCAGCACGACAGCTCATTGTCCTCTTTTAAGGGGTAACTAAGTAACCCCGTGCTCCTTTCCTTGAACTGGCAGGTTAGTGACCAGGACGATCTGATGATCCGCCATCCATTTACTATACCACAGAACAAAAGGTATTATTTAGATACAGGAGTGAGAAAATCAAAGGACAAGACTTTATCTCTGCAAAAGAAGGCCAAATTCTAATCTGTGTCAAACTACTAGGAAAAAATAGAACAGCTACAAAGAAAAATGATGATTCTGATAAGCACTGCGAAACACTGTAGTGGACATGGTTGAGTCTTTTCATAGGCTGACTGCTGGAATATGTCAAGGAAAAATAGGGCTGGTATATCAGAGATGTTAACGAAAAGGAGTTAGAGAATTAACTGGATTTTGAAATTTCAAGAAGGCCCTGATTATAGTAGATTCTTTGCAGTACTTGGTCTATCCCTCCCTATTTATACAGGAGGCAGGAGGGCAGTAGAATTAAGAAGCGTAGCCATTAGAAATAATCTGATCCAGAGACCTAGTAGGGCTAAGTTTGAAAGAAAATCATGTGATTTTAAATGTGTGGACACACCTTTAATGTATGGACTAGATATAATTTAATACTAAGTATTATGAAGGTAGATAGGCAGACAAACAGCTATCTATATTTTGTGTGTTTTCAGAATGATGGCATTCGGTATGGCATGGACTGCAGTAAACTTATTTTGGAAATACTTTGGAAAATCTCGAGCTGATTCTGATCTTGTTAAACTACTGATAACTGACATCAGTGAAATTTTACTTGCAAGAAATTTGAATCAAGACTGCATTTTAAAGGAACATGAGCATATAACACATTTGCAGAAAGAAACATCATAAATCCTTCTATGTTCCCCTCTCAGTTACCTTTGGATAACAGTACACTGTTTATTTGATTAAAAATCCTATTTCTGTTTTCTTCTCCCTCTGAATCTCTAATAGTCATCTCAGTGAAGCATATCACATCTGATGGTAACTTTATTTCACTAGTAAGACTGTCAGAACGCTTCCTCAATGCATGTTACACACAACCATGTCGCCGCATGTAAGCTGTCCAATAGAACTTTGTTTTAAAGCTCCTTCATCAACCAGTTCAGGACATCCATACGCTTGGAGTGAGTGATACTGTGCCTTTTAGAAAATATCCACAAATGCAAGGGAAGGGGACCAACTATCTGAGACCAACTGGTTTTCATTCATATTGCCCTTGGCCTTCTGAGACAAGACATGTCATGCAAATCTTTAGCTAAGGCCACCTATAACAAAGTAAAGGCTGAACAGTCTTTATGGCATATGTAGATTACCACAAGCTAGGTAGTAGGTTCAGACACAATAGCATAGACTCCTCCTATAATGCTCCCTGGAGGTGAGAAGGGGTAGGAAGAAACACGGCAGCTCAGACTAATGACAGATACCTTATTTTTGTAAAATAGTCATGTAAGTCATTAGTCATGTTTCTTTGTTTGAAGTTAAATGATCTACAATCTTGCAGAGCTGACAATGTGTCTTGTAGAGTCAGCCTTGTCATCTAAATAAAATAAATTAAATAGCCTGAGGCCTATTGTATGTCCCTGAGGCATTTCACTTGGTAATTCTCCTCAGTGGTCTATTATTTTCTGTTTATGGTCCTTCAGCCAATTTTTATTCTGCCTGGAAATCAATTTGAATTCAGTAAGAGGCTAGCAGTACATTCATTTACATTCCTGACATCCACTGATTCTGTAATTCAATAACAAAAAAGCAGTCACAGTTGCTTAGTCTACTAACTTTGTGTTAAGATAATCTAATGAGAATGAAAGCATTTATGGAATTGCAAATTAAGGGATATATTGGATTTAATTTTAAGTGTTACATAATGACCTGGAAAACAGTGTGTTTCACTCAATGGTTTGTCCATATAGGAAGAAATATTCAAATGGTTAAATTCTCATGTTGGCACCATGTAGCTGGATTTTCAAAAGGGCCCGAGTGCTAAATCTTGTTGAACCTTGGGTCCTGATTCTGAACGTTGTACTCTTAAAAACCTGGTCATGAGTTCCCTTTAAAGTCTAGCTTTTATTGTGCGAGATGTTTGAATTAAGGTATTCACCTTTCCTTACTGAATAAGAATGTATGTTCTGTGGTTTTGAAGAGGGACTAAGGGAGAAGTTACTTCCAAAAATAGTCTGTGCTTGTGCAACCTTTAAAAATGAAAAATAGATCTTTAAAGAGTAATGGTTAACAATGAACCCTCATTACTCATGTTTCAGTTGCTTTTCTTGGCATGAAACATTTCTGTGCTGGAGCCTCTATTCCATAGCTGAACAGAATCCAGCATTTTAAACCCTCGATCAAACTCTCAAAACTCTTCACATTTACTCTATCTTTTGATGGTAAAATGAAACCCTCAAAACGTGTTAACAAAAATCTTCAAACACACACTTTCATATCCCTAAGCCGGACATGACTCTAATGGACATCTTCTGCTATAAACATTTAACTAATGCTCTTGAGTACTCAAATACTACATATGACAGTGATAAAAAGCAGATCTCAGTCCTCTCATCTAAAGATCGTATTGCTGAACATTTTCCACATTTTTCATTGCCTTCTAATAATAAGTGTGATTTCTTTGGGAGCAGAGCTTGATAAAAGAGAAACAGTGTGTTTACTCAATTAAAGTCAATTGTTTCTTGATCTTACAGAAGAACGTGAAGAGCCTTCCTAGTTCCTGACACAAGAAAAGGAGCAGAGGTGCCTATCTAGTAAACAATACCTCTGTTGAGCAAGAAGGTAAATGAAAGCAAGTGTAGGAGAAGCGAAAGTTCTTACAACTCCAAGGCATTTCCAGCAAAGCTTACTGATCTATGCAGAATGCTGTATCAAGACAAAAAGATACAGTAAACATCACCTCTTAATGCTGCCTGATTAGCATGGCAGGTAATGAAGACCTGTGAAATAGTCACAAGCTGTGACAGATGTGTGCTATTGCTTTCTCAGAACTGAGTTTAAAGGAAAAAAAAAAAAAAGGCAATCTGTAGCACCTGAGGCAGACAAGTTGTTCTCAGGAGAGCTTCATAGCTCAGATTCAGATCTGTGTTGAGTGATTACATTGCTTCCAAAAAGGAAACTTATGTCTGGCTATCTCAGGGCATGACTAGAATGAACATGCAACTTCATGTATCTCACTCCATAGAAATACCCTTTGTTTGCCCAGCACGGTAGTTTTTTCTACAATATTTTTGCCAATATATAGCAATTAACTAACATCCACTGGATCTTACTGACATAACAGGGACTTTAGGAGACTTAATGAAGTCCTTATCCACCAGAAGACAGGGGTCAGAAATACTCTTCAAAATAGTTTTGAAGAGGCTAACTTGTTCAGTTGCTACCAGGCAGAGCTGATTAGAAATCAGCTTTTCATGTTTGGTTCCTTTCCTCCTCCCTCTCTCTTCCCTCCCCCCAATCTCTCTCTTTTCCCTCTAAAGGAAAAAAAAACTCAAAATTTTCTGCTTAATTTGATCATTTTTCCCCTCCTGTTTTTTTGTTGGTTTGATCACAGAACCAGACAAGCCGTTATTCACCCAATTCTACTAATGAGTTCCTTTCTCAGAGTCTTTGTACCCTGCATAATGAAAAACATCTGCATCTTGCATAAAGCCTGACATTTCCCTGCCTATTCACCAATGACTTTTTTCTCTTTTCTTTCAATGACTGAATAGATTAACAGTGCAATACTAATAATGTAATGCATGGAAAAGGAAACTGGCAGAGTGTCTCCAGAACTTTCTATTCTTATCACCTTCCCTTGATGTTTCAGTAGAATTACGCAATTCATATGGTAATCATTTCCTTCTAATCAATATTTCATATATAACCTTGCTTATTCATTCCTAGTTATTCTGCTTGCCAAGAAAGCTGAATGAGACCATTGGGGGTATCCGTCTTTCATGATATTGAGAACAGATTAATGATACTGGCAGCATGCTTGCAAAAAGATGTAATTCGTTAATTAACTCATAAATAATTTGCTAAAGGTTAAGAAGTCATTAATTTATGCCTTAAAAAACAGCTATTACAAGGACCAGCCAACCAGTAAATTGCTTATAACTATAAAACCTGTTTTGATGTGCTTAGAGCAATTCTCAACATTTCTAAAAACAGTGGGCCACCTAGCACCCACGACCTAGCTCTTTGGAAATGCTTCCATGGAGTATTTTGTGCATCATTGCCAGAATGGGTTTCATATGAATTTCTTATATTGTTCATATTAATACTTTTTATTTTTCTGTAGTGGTTTGGTCATATGGGTAGGATTGTTTGGGAGACTTGTTTGCGGGGAGGAGGGAGACCATTCCTTGCGATGTCTGACCAACTAGCAGCGATCCAGGTTGAGACATAGTGATGTATGGCACACACTACTCCTGTAAGGTGTTATTAACAATTTATTTCTTAACTCTTATTAAATGTGTGCTTACGCAATTCTAGCTCAACATTCCAGCCATTGACATTACCGAGCATCTGCATACATACCCGCGTACACACACGCACACACACACACAGGTTTTATGTCTTACGAACCTATCTAGTTTTGCTTTAACACTAGAAGAATATCTAGTTTCAGTACAGCATCTCAAAAAAGAGTGAAAAATGTAGATTTAAAGATCTAAAAATGGCAGCAACCTCTGTCTTCTGGTGGATAAGGATTTGATTAAGACTCCTAATGTCCCTGTTATGTCAGTAAGATCCAGTGGATGTTAGTTAATTGCCATATATTGGCAAAAACATTGTAGGAAAAACTACAGTGCTGGGCAAAGAAAGGTTTAGGAAGATTCACATACTTACAGAAATGCTAAGATCCCATCGTCTTCTGTTTAGCACAGTATCTTTATAGTAGAAGAGAGTACATAACAGATAGCAGAAGCTTACCTGTCTCTGATCTCATTAGCTGCATTTGCCCCATATGCATTACAGGATTCCATAATGTAATCTGGGCTGATCCCAAGAACTGAACTGGGCTCTCCACAGGATCCATCTGCTACCACAATTACTTTTGGCCGGTCTGAAGGTAAATGCTTCCATATAAAGTAATCTGAAAACTAAGTGAAAAAGGATATTTGTTGTGACTATTGTGAATTTGCTAGGGAAAACGCACCAAGTAGTTCACATTCTTTCAGTTATGGGTATACCAGCAAAACCGCGTATGAAAATGTAGTCCTATCTCAGTTAAACTCATTAGGAATATGTTACAGCACAACATAAACAAGACAGCACACTTGATTTGAAAGGTTCTTTATCCAGAGTAAGCACACTTGCCCATTGTTTAGAAAAATCTCAAAGTACTTCAGCAGTATTAATGAAATTTAACACCTTTTAAAATCTCTTTGAAATAGCTGTATATATATTCCCATTTTACAGACATAAGACAGACTGTAGGCGATTAGCAGTTAGAATTTAATCTCATTTAAAGCAGTGGTGAAATTCCACTGAGCTCTTGGCATAGAATTAGTATCAAAGTTTGCATGAACTTGACTTTACACAACAGATTTAATGAAATATAGGATTTACTGTGGCCTAAGGGCTTTTTAGCAGCGCCCTTCAACTAGCTTCTGCAGTTGTCCAGAATGGTTACAGTGATTTTTAGTAAGCAATGTTTTCAGCAAACACTATGTTTTAATCAGCAAAGACCATGTTACATTGTTGCAGGTAATAATATAATGTAATGTATACCACGTGCATTTCTCAATACTTACTCCTCTAGTTCACCTGAAATCGATACATGTATATTGTTGTACTAATAGAAGAGTTTAAATAGAAGAGTTGTGTTAGAAAGCACATGTGGAAGCCTCAGTACTTTGAGAAAAAAATGCAAGGATATGTTAAAAATATTCTTAGTTGTTCAACATTTTACAATGTTTTCAAATGAAATAACAGCTAAGCGATTTTGAAAGCAGTATGTATACAGTAGTGTGAAAGAAACAGCAGTAAAACCAGTTTTTTGTCATTCAGCAAACTAGATTAGATTACCATGATGGTCCCTCCAAATCTGCAGGCTCATTCCCCAGCTGGTATAAATCAGTGTAGTTCCTGTGAGGTTAGTCACATCATAACCTAATAAAGTGCAAACCGCACTTAGCTTTACAGATTCAACAGAGAGATAAAAATGAAATGAAGGACAAAATAATGTGATAATGGCTATCCTTAATGTATATCCAGAATGTCTCAAATTACAGTAGGACAAGTTACCTTCCAAAGGGTATATTCAACTCCTTCCCTCTGATTTCTGTTTTTAATCAACTAGTATTTCATAGATACACTTCTGCACCACATTTTTTTCTTCACTAAAAGCTAGTGATTCCTTTTGCAATTCCTACTGCTTTTGGTGAGCACTCGCCTGCCTTAGGAAATCTGTTAGGTATGACCAGAGTGTATTCAATGGCAGGGCCAAGCCTGTGCTTGTGCTGAATTTGCAATGTTAAGTGACAGACCTGGAATAAGCCAGTGACAGGCTGCTTCCTAGAATTCCTAGACTTCATTTTAGCAACAAACTATGGGTACACAGGGTGCGTGGAGCTGAGCTTTCCTAGGAGCCTCTCATTTGTATCACAAACATCCTAGAGCAGCACTGTGGCTGCATGGAGGGTAAATAATGGAGAATGCCAGCCTTTCATTTCTCTTAGACTGCTGTCCACCAAGTGGTCTAGATGCTGCCGTTGAGGCCAGTGGGACAACTTATGCATGTGCCCGTGAAAATGATTTATCAGCTCAGAGGCTTTCTAGCAAAAAAAATACCGTATTTCGAGAGCAAATAACTTGATAACTGCATAGCTCAAACACCTTTATAGTTCTATTTAATTTTTTTTTATAGTTGAAGGTTTCAAAAAATTACTAGTGATACATTTTATCTTAAACTTTTTTCTGTACAGCTTTGGCATATGTTTTATGAGTTAGGTCTGATGTGGCTTTAACTCAAGTATAACTCCTAATTAGATAGGATGAAAGTAGCAAAGAAATCTATTTGCCCAACTCATGTCATTTATTAACTGAAAATCTTATTCTGTAGTACCTGACACTGCTAAAAGTGAGAAACAATCTATTTATATTTTTAGTTATAGAGATGGGCTGATAATGTCAATGATATCAGAGCCAAGATAGAGTTAGGCTTGAGTAAACATCTCAGAAGGTAATGTTCAAACCTTTGACCTTGGTGCTTGGAGCAGAGGAAGCTGTTTCTCATCCACCCCATCCACGTAGTTATGCAAACAGACTACGTAGTCTTAAATCTTTGCATTAGCCATATATTTTGTATGAAGTAGTAGTTTATCTTTGTGTCATATGTGTGAAATATATATACATTTGCATTAGAAGTGGAAAGTGTATTCTCTTCTATTTCTCTAGCCAGTTAAAATTTTAACATTGTGAATATACAATACCTGTTTGAACAAAGACAGGTATCTCAGTCTTCAACAGAGTACAGTGAAACTCACTGAAATAGGGCCTTGTCAAATTTGGACAGGCTTCCTAAAATAAATTCATATGAACTATCCACATTTGCATTTCACCGTACTGTTCTCTACTTAATTAGATACTAGCCACAGTTTGTTTTATGCTTTTACTCTCAATATTTTTCACTTCGCTTTAGCTAGCTCAGACTGATTGCTTTAGAAATATGTAAGATGGTAATTAGTTTAACAGCATGTTAGATTTATAGAGCAGTGCAACAATAACTCATTATTGGCTAAGCTAATCATGTAGTGCACACTAACATAATTACTCCAGACATACGGGAATAAATATGAAGTAGAACATTTACCAGCTGAACACTTGACACAGCATCATCTGACCCAAGAATCAAGAAGGTGTTTCTTGGGCTAAATCTAAAAACATTGTTTAGAATTCAAAACAATAAAATTAATTTAATATGTGCCTTTTCGTTGGAGGGAAATTAAGGGTCTCTGTCAGAGAATGGTGCAGTACTGGCAAGAACAGACCTTGCCCTCCTCAGTCTCCCAGCTGCCACCTTTGTAGTCTGGCACCTGGGTCCTTCAACCTAGTCATTCCCAGTGGCAATCCCATACCTGCGCGCTCAACTGCTGTGCTCGGGATGGAAGTATCTGTTATAATTCTTCTTAGGTACTAGCTCTGACTCTTGGGAAAGAAAAATAACCTAGAAGATTTCTGTTTCTCTCTCTCTTTTTTTTTGAAAAGAAAGATACAGGAAAAAAGGTGAAAGAGTAGTAAACTCAATTTCTCACAGACTTCACTTACAGACATACGCTGCAAAAGAAACAGTATTTAGGAATTGAGCAGGCATATTACAGAGGAAATTGCTAGACCAACTCATGAACAGCCACATGTGGGACCACAGGTACAAACGCTAATTTTTTTTTTTTTTTTTGCTGCTTCAGCTTCTCATTGGCAAAATCAGGGTAATGATCTTTCCTTTTGTTTAGCTAGACTGTAAGCTTTTTGGAGGAAGCACTTTATTTTACCATGTACACAAAAAAAAGGTCCTAAACACAGGACATGATAATATTTTAAATTAGAATAAAATCTGATTATGTATAGGGAAAAGTTGAACAAATAGATCATCTTTTCAAAAGGGCTAGTCCTGCAGCACTTGGCCAGTTCTGGTTAAAGCTGTTTTTATTCTGCTCACAGAAAATAGCTTGCTTTTATAGTTCTTCCTCCCTCCTTTAAGATTTCCACAACTCCTCTTTATCTTCCTCCTACTCTTCCTCACCCCATTCTTCCGAAAGCAAACAGAGGGACTAAGAGGAATACCTTTTCCTACCCACATGCTTCATACATGCTAAATATCCTTTTGCCTTAGCAAAAACTGTCATCAAAAACACCATTTTCAAATGATTTTCCAGATGTCTTTAACATCTCACAGAATAGCAACCCCACTGATACACACACTAACCCCAGCTCAAAATCACCACAAAAACTTAGGAAAATTCATAAAATCCTGCATATTTCTAAAAGTCAGAAATAGCTTTTGCAAAACACAGATGGGAAAAAACACAGGTGTGATCAGCTTTAATGATCAACCCTTCCCTTAGCCCCCTCCCTGGAACATCTTTGTTCCATAGACACCTTGTCCAGATGCAGGAAGAGGGACCAAGTGTCTGGTGCCCTTCTCTGCACAATACCTGTCCTAGGAGAGGTGCTGACCCCCAGGAGAAATACTCTAATCCCCAGGACCAGAGGCGCAGCTCTGCAGGAGCTGCTCAGGGAGCACAGCAGGTGCGGTGCCAGAGCTCCAGCCCACCCTCAGGAGGGTAGAGACTCCAGAGAGAGTCTTGGGGGAAGTTTAACAGCCCTGCTCCAGGGTGGGACTGGGGACAAGACCCCGCTGACGCGCTGTTAGGCAGGCGGAGGGAGCCTTCCTCTCTGTGAGGAGCACCCTTTGGGATGGGCACAGGGACGGGGCGCTCAGCCGGCTCCCCAGCACGATCCGGCTTTCCCTCCGCGAGTCTCAGCACCGCGCAGG